CGGCCACGTCTGTATTGGCCAGCAGAAGCGGCGGCAGAGCTGTGTGCCGCTTGGGACGGGACGAGTCTGTACCGGTCAGTCCCGAGTGGCACACGGCTCCGCCGCCGCTTCTGCTGGCTGGTGCAGACCTGGCCGGCCTCCTCCTGTCCCCAGCAGCTCATGGGAAACTGGCTTCAGCTGCATGCTGCTTTTCCTGGCTGGTGCTCACCCGGTTCCGTGCAGGCGGGTCCTGCAGCACCAGGTAAACCCGGTTGTAGCCAATTGGCTCCTGCAGCACCATGTCAACTGGGGCATTCATGCCATGTCAACCAGCACCATGTCAACCCCTACAACTTCACTGGTGTCAAAGGTCATGTGACATCACTTCCTGATGTGATACCACTTCCTGTGATGTCTCTGAATATGGCTTGCTGGCCCACTGGGTGATAAAAAAGTTCGTGATCCGGCCCCACATTCAAAAAGGTTGGGCACTCCTGCTGTAAAGCATCTTCAGTCTGGGGCAGGAACTTTGTGTTTGAAGTAACTAACATACTGCTTAGCACCACAAAAATAAACAATAGTGCTAATCTTTGCTCTGAGCCAGCAGCAGCTTGTGCTCATGGTTGCCAGCAAAGCCTTATGCCACTCAATGGTGCCATCTGCTGACTGACTTAAATCACACTAAATGAACTGTTGAATTCAAGACAATGGATCTTCTGCAGGTGGGTATTTTGGTCCCCAAATCTAAGAGAAAAATACCCATTTCTGACTCTCTTGGAAAGCTTTACTAATGGAAGGCTCTTCTCCATGAGAGTCCCTATGCTGGCAGGAGCATTAAGGTTGCTCCAGTTAGCCTTTCCCAACTGGAAGGGATTCATAACGATATGAGGTAGAAAAGGGAGTAAATGAGACTGAGGGAAGAGGGATAGTTTGGCTAATGCCCTCCCTCCGTCACTATCTAGACACAGTCTGGTGCTACGTGAGGATATATGAGCTCTTTCTGGGCAGGGTGCAGTCCTCCTGAAAGTGGTGCTAGAGGGCAGCCCTGTGGATGATTGATAACACCCTTCTGCAAACACCAAGGAAGGAATAGAAGAAAAATTGTGAACATTTAGCCTTTCTGTGAGACATCTATGCTTTAGCAGAGGCTTTCTCCCCAGTCAGGATGCTGCTCCTCTATCCTGTCTATAGTGCTTATCCCTGCTCTGCCTTTCTAGCTTGGTTCCACAGCTAGACTAGAAACAGCTTTTTGCAGCACATGTTTTGGCTTCTGTACAAATCTCTGTTTCTTCTGCATGTCCTGTGACATTGTTCCAGATGGTCTATATTTCTGTCTAAGAAAAACTGTTTCCATTTCCCTCTTGCATATTAATTTGCAGCCTCTGTCACTGCTCTCTGTTTGGCTATCATTGGAAAGACACTTAAATGCATCTTTCTGCTGCAGTACTCTGAGATGATGGCTAAGAGCAGTTAAGCACATGTGGGAGGCAGGTGGCTAGACTGTCTGCACTCTCCTACCACTTAAAAAGGCAAAAATATGTTTGTCTGGTTTTTCACACTAGAGTCTGTTCAGGATAGTGATGTGGTACTAAGGAAGTTTCAGGTTTGTTAGGTGTGGCTGTAGAGCGGACAACACATCCCTTTCTCCCTTCTGCCCCAAAGAAATACATAGGGAAGAGTTTGGAAAAGTGTGTTGTCATCTAGCAAAAATGTGGGAATAAGAGCACATTTTTCCAACCAAAGGAAAACACCAGAGCCATCCCTTGTCCTGTGATCCAAATTATTCAAATCTCTCTGACCTCCCTGTGTTCAAACTCCAGCGAGTATGTGCCCGTTGGCTCATACTCGTATGAAGATTGGTGTTTAAGTTGAGAAGCTTTACATCATCTTGAGGTATGAGCTTAGGACATTCTATTAAAAAAAAAGGGTTGGCTGGACTCTCCCCTCTCTTGGCAAACCTGGTGGTCTGATGCGTTCAATATGGCTGAAGTCTGGAGAAACGAGATTTTAATTAAGGGGGCCCATTATTTTCCTCTTGGCCTTGATACAGCCTGTACTGCCTTTTCCCAGCCCCATTCATACCGGCTGATGGTAGCCTGCAGGTTAGATCTTGATTTGTACTTAAAATGGAGAGAAAGGCAAAAGGAGAATGTCACTGGTGAGATAACTGAGCTGAATAGTAAGAATAAAACAAGGCAGTACCTATTCTTTGCCTTATCCCTCACTCTGCAGTCTCCTTGGCTTTGCTGTAGAGGAGGACTCTCATTTGTTCATCAGTAGATTGCAAAGAGCAATGCAGATGGAGAGAGTGTGACCAAAACAGAGCCAGGTGCCTTGTCCAAGGCCACTCGGAGACTTATGGTAGAGCCAAGGGCAGCAGTGATGTCTGTGGGGACAGTGCAGGAATTGCAGTGGTTTGTATTTAATCCTTGATGTGGAAGGACAGAAGCCACATGTCAGGCTTTGAGAATGGAGTTTAGCCTACTCTGAAATGGCAAGAGTCAGGATACATAGCCAGAGGGAACCATGAACTTCCAGCTTATTCGTGTGTTCCTTGAGGCTACTTTTGTATTGTTTTCTGTGAAAAAGTGGAAATGGATCAGAATGTGTCAGAAACCGTAAGAGTTCTCAGCTTCCCTTGGATAACTGTCAAACAAAGTTGTGGGTGTTTCTGTTTTGTTTGGGTTTTTTAATGTCTGAGTTAGTTCTCTGGGGTCTGACAGGCAGCCTCTGCTGAAGAGAAACCATGGGAATAGAATAGCAAGGCTGAATGGAAGAACCGATGACTTTTTTTGTGTGTGACTTGTAGTAGCGGCTGAGAGACACAAAAATAGGAACCGGAGTGCACTGGATGATGGGGTGTGCAGATGGGCCCAGGTTAAAGAAGATAGTGGATTTTGCCAGGGAGTTGCCAATGCTCTTCCTGACTCTAGTGAGGGCCTATAATACCTTGCTTTCACAAGCATTAAAATAAATGGAAGTCTTTAAATGGGCAGATGGTGTCTTAGAATTGCCTGTGCATTGTCAAACCTGAACCTTTCTGAAGTATGTCTGATGACTGTTTGTTGGAGTTGGGACTTCTTTAGAGCAGCCCCCTAAAGGGTTTTTATTTTTTTCCACTCTCCTTATTTCTTCCCCTTTGCCTGCTGTCTGTCTTCCTGGTTGAATTGTGAAGTTGCCTGTGGATTATGGGTACAACTGCCAGCACGGCTCAACAGACTGTCTCAGCAGCTACGTTTGAGAACGTTCACGGCAACGGGACCATGGATGACCGTCACTCTCTTAGCATCCACTCCTTCCAGACCGTTGGTCTTCACAACAGCAAAGCGAAGTCCATCATCACCAACAAAGTGGCACCAGTAGTTATTACGTGAGTTGCTGAAGCCAGGAATTCTTTTGTAAATAATGGGTCTTTTTGCCCCAGCCAGTTGGCATGTGGCATTCCCTCCCTGCCAAAGCTTCTTAGAGCACTGCCCTTCTTGTTGCATTAAAAACTAGGAAATTTCCTTTGCTTTGCCTGACTCATGGATTTCAGGATGCATTTCATTTTCCTAAGCAAACATTCTTCTGGGGGGAAGAGGTGAGTTGTTTCAGCCACACTCTACTGCCTCCTTCCCTAATAGGGACAGCCTTTCAGAAGGCCTGGGCACCTCTCTCCTGTTCCCTCAGGTCAGCAGACTCCTTGATGGGTACAGGATTCAGAGATTTTCTCTCCATCCTGTCCCACAATAGCAGCTCTGGCCTATTGGAGTCAGTCATCCCTGTGCTGCTAGAAAATGCCTTGTCCCACATCTTGCATGGCACATCTGAAATGGTTATTACCATGCACAGAATACAATATAACTTTGGTTGCATGACAAAAAATTAACTAATGGTTTTAGTTATAGACCATATGTCATTCTTGGAGTTCCCTAATTTAAAAGGATGGGAAAGTTGGGTTTTCAAAACCATATTTCTGCTTCCCTGAGCTTCAATCACTTGACCTTTTCCAGTCAGCAATTCCCATACTTGAGTGGAGAAAGCCCCTTTGTGTTGAATACCCTGTGACTTTTGTATGTGGCTTTCAGTTACAACTGCAAAGAGGAATTCCAGATTCATGATGACCTACTCAAGTCCAACTACACAGTGGGGCGGATTTCGGAAACCACTCCAGAACACTACCTTGTACAGGTAAATACTGCAGACCATCCTTTGCCATTAACATGGGTTTTTTGCATGGAGCCTGGAGCAAATAGGTTAGGGTTTTTTTAGATTAAAATAGTGTCTTTTATGAGCTAAGGGAAGGGTAGGATATCTGGGCAATTTTCTTCATGGTTAATTTCATTTCAGCTGTTGGAAGTGAAGCTTTCTTCTACATATGGGATTGGCTGATTTGCATCTGGAAGAGAATGCTTTGCATAAGTAGAGTGGGTGAGATGGTGGGGAAGGAACCAACGTCAGGAGCTAGTCGGTGGTGGAAGGGAAAGAGAGAGGCAGCTGAGGTTAGTTTTAACATAGTCATGGGAATAGTCTCATTTCAGTTTTTTGAAAAGTTTTGAGCTCAGGTTCACAAACATGGAATCCTCTGTTCTCAAGCTGTGTACATGTGGGCTCTGGGATTGGTAGCAGTGATTTGCTTAGCTTTTCAAGTGGAACTAGGTTTTCTTCTTCAGAGTATAAGCCCTAGACCTACTGGAGAAAGACTTGGGAAGAAATTTTTCTCTATAGCACAATGGGCTGAAGTTGTTTTCCATTATTCAGAACAGGCAAGCTGATGCAAATGGGTAAATCACTACAGGAAAGTAGAGTACTAGTAGGCAGAAATATTCTGCTGTGCACTTGTGATCATCCATGATCAGACGGGGTGTGCGGAACAGGTGTTTGGGAAGGGTTTCTTTGAGGAAATTGTCTTCTCTTGCCTCTTTCTCTTCTTGCTCTGCTACAGGTGTATGTAGATGTTTGGCTTTATGTAATATGTTGTGTGTTTCTTACTCAACACTTTTTTTTTTTTTTTACTCCCTCCACTACCTATTTTGCAGGGGAAATATTTTATGGTCAGAGATGTATACAGTAAGTTAGACGTATTGAACACTACTAGTAGTTGTGGAGCTCCAAATTTCCGACAGGCAAGAGGAGGGTATGCAGTGTTTGGAATGGGACAACCAAGCCTCGATGGATTCAAACAAGTGATGCAGAAACTCCAGAATGATGGGCACAAGGTCTGTGTATATGGTAGGGAAAGGGGACAGTCAATGGCAAAGTTATCTGTATAGTAGACATGTTATAAGGTTTATTTTTCTGTTTAATATGTGTAAGTAAACCCTGTTCATCAATGGATGCAAGTGTTATAAAATAAACCCGTATATACAATTGAAGTCTCATATAGTGAGGTCAATTTATATCAAAATATAATGTAGTACTGCTTAAAGCGAAATAAAGTGTCATTGTTGAGGTTTTCTCTGCTTTTGTAAGTTTGGAGTTTGTGCAATGGAAGGGATAATCAAGCTAACTTGTTCAGTGGAATCTTTCGTTAGTATGTAGGCTGGGTGAGCTGTCGCTCTGCCCTTGCCTAGGCTTTGCAATGAACTGTGTTACATAAAATGCTGCAACATCTATGTGCAGTGCAGCCAAATGACACTGGACCTCCTGTTTGTGACAAGTGTTAAGTTCAACCATCCAAGTTGTTATGACGTAGTGACTCTTTTTCAATTTCTGTCTGCCCTTATTATGACTGAGGCAAGGATTTCTTTGGGTGATATTTTTTATTGGACCAACTGCAGAGTCCAGTAAAAAACCCCAACTTTTGTTGGACCAATTGCAGAGTCGGGATAGAGTTAGACAAACTTTTGAATGCAAGACATTCTTCATTAGGTCAGACATCACTCTAACAGTACTTATTATCACTGACGTGTTGGGCCTGTTGACACCTATGGGCAGTACAAAGTGAAGAGTACTGTGCAGTCTGGATAGGAATCTCTATGGTATGTGAGAATGCAGTAGCTGTACCTGTAACTCAAAACGCAAACAGGCTAGTGATGGCAAATCCCAGCTTAAAGTTCAGCTGTTTAATGCTTGTCATAACTACCTCCAGAGGAATAATCCAAGAGGTGCCTTGCTCTGTGCCCTGAGGGCAAGGGAAAGATCATAGGAGTAATGCCTCTGTGGAAATTTCCAGCTGTTCAGTTCCCTTGTGGAATACCAGCATTCACTTGAAAAGAGCCACTCTCCTTGGTCGGGCATGGATAGAAGTAAGATAATGTTCTAGTATTGCTGCCCTCGTAATTTATTTTTAGTTCCTCTTATTCCCATTTTACTGAGAAGAACAGCTGGGAATCTCTGCCCCATGGCAGGGAGTGTGGCATGGGGGGGCGGGGGGGTTGACTCCTGCAACTCACACAAGTAACAGAGTGGCTCTGGTAGAGGAATCTAACTGAAATGGTTGTCTTTGAGAATAAGGCAGCCTTTCAGAATTTGGCATCTCCCCTTGTATCCAGGACAATTACTTCTTGAAGATGAATAACATGTTCATCCTCATTGCCATCTCAGGTGTTATAGGGCGAGATCTTGTACACAAGGCAGTGAATTTTATACTATTGTAAGGCTGTTCTAAGAGCCTGTGAGGGAAGGCATAAAGGCTATTGTTTTAAGTTTCCCAGAACACAGGACAAGTAATAACCCTGTCTCCTTACTGTTTTACTTGCACAGTCCCAGTGTTGGGTAATGGAGCTCTTCATTTTCCAAGCATTTCAGGATTACAAGTCTCTCCCAGATGTCTAGGTTCACATATTGTGCTTGTTACCATAGTAGTTCAATGTGTCACAAGCATTTAAAAACTAGAATAAGTTGTCCTATCACCTGGTCAGAAGTAATTTTCTTGTGTCAAGCATAGATTCTTTCATTTGTCATTGTCTGTAAAAACAATATTGTGAAATGAGAAACTTAAGCATTTTTTTCTTTTGGTTCTGGGAGTTGGGGTGGTCTGTGGCCACTCTTTATTTCTTTGCATCAGTGAGTCCCACAGTCTTGTTCAGCTCCTGAAAAAATTCTGACTCCTGTTACTGAGGAGTCTTCTGTAGGTTAGTTCTAAGAAAATGTAGCTATGTTGGGAGCTCTTGATCATGGAAAGAAGGGGAAACCTCTCAGGTAGGTAGGGTCAAAGCCCATGGAGAGACATAAAGAAGACAGAGGCTTTGAGTTAGACTGTATTCAGTGGAAGCCAGTACAGAGACATGTCTGGGGTGAAATGTATGCTGCTGCATTCTTTACTGCCTGGCACACTGTCAGTTTGGGGAGCTTTACCTCTAAGTAGAATGTGATTCAGTAATAGAAGTTAAGAGTCCGTGACTGTGGGGCTCAGCATAGTCAGCTCTGACTTACAAGAACTTTCTGGACAGGTGCAATTAGAGCAAGGGTGCGCAATTAATTTGGGTGGAGGGCCGCTTACTGAGTTTTGGCAAACCATCAAGGGCCGCATGACAGGCAGCCAGGGGCAGATAAATATTTTCTAAATATTTAGAGGCCCCGCGGGCCGGATAGAATGGCCTGGTGGGCCACATCCAGCCTGTAGGCCGCGTTTTGCCCACTCCTGAATTAGAGGCAGGTGTTTTCACTGTCATGCCTGCTTTGGCCTAGATATAGCCATAAGGTGTTCCAAAGGACTCTAAAGCTGGTAACTGATTTAGCAAACAGAGAGGGATCTTTTGTGGCAGAATCAAGGTCTTGGAAAAGCTTTTTCCCTCTCTCCCTAGCTGCATTGCCTCCTTGTAGCCTGGGTTCAACTTTAGCCAGACGTTCTTTAGCTAGAAGTTGATCTCACCTAGGCCTTCGTCTGCCATTCACAAAGCTAGCTAGTTGGAAGGCTGTTGGCTGTACGTACTTGTGTCTTTTCAGGAGTGCATCTTCTTCTGTGTTCGTGAGGAGCCTGTGGTATTTCTACGCGTGGAAAATGATTTTGTACCCTACACACCCAGAGGAAAGGAGAACTTGCATGAAAATCTGCATGGTCTGCAGAGAGGAGTCAAAGTGGAAAACTTGGAGCTTGCAATCCGGAAAGAGGTGATTGAACATCTAAGCTGGCCATTTCTTTGAGTGGGATGCTGGGAACTAATGCTCCTCTAGTTGTTTTGAGAGCTTTGGTGAACAGAGGTGATAGGAGGTGTGTTTGGCAAGAGAGGAAGGGCAGTTAGGAACTCATTGTGACTGTGTGATAATTTTAATACTATGCTGTGGGGTGGCTTTTCTGAAGACTCTACTGTCTTGGGAAGGGGCTGCTGTGAGGGGCCATGTGTGTGTAAATGTGCTTGCACAATATATATGTAGCTGTATTTGCTTTAGTGCTTAAGAAACTGGTATGCTAAAATGGCACAGGGTCTTGTACTGACCTTTTTTTCCTTGCATGAAGGGTTCCTGTGGTTCCCATTCTGGGCCTTTGCAGTTAACCAAATTCAAACAGCTGTGCGGTTCCACTTAGGAGCATCTGTATGACTGTCCCTGTCTTTCTATCTGCCCCTTCTGCTCTGGCGCTGAGTCTGCATGCTTTACAGTTCACCTTAGTCTCAATTTACAATACTTTCCTTCCTGTTCCAGTATTTGGCTTCTTGTGATTTTTGCACAATGAGCAGTACCTAATGAATAAACTGCTTATGAGCTCAACAGAGTAGCAGGTTACTTTTGCAAAATGGACCCATATGCTACTTATAACAGTTGCACCATTTCTCTAGCATCCCCACATGCTGTTTTGATAATATAGTTGGAAATGGAAGTTAAACAGTAAGAATGGCTTTTAAATTGTTTTTGTTTGGTTTGTCTACTGAAGATACATGACTTTGCCCAGCTGAGTGAGAACACATACTATGTCTATAATGATATTGAACATTTCAAAGATGAGCCGCATTCTGTGAGCATCCATTGTGAAGAGGACATCCATGTGACAGAAGAAGTATACAAGAGGCCCATTTTTCTGCTGCCATCTTACAGGTAATGCTTAGACATAAATGATATTCCCATATTGCTTGGGTTCCTCTTCTCCCTCTTCTCTTCTTCTGCATGTTTATTCCATAATAATTTGGCAGGTCTGTGCATAGGAAGGCCACCACATGCTCAGCTTGGGGTTTTGGTTTTTTTTAAATCCAAGGTGCCAGACCTGAAACGGTGTGTTCATAATTACAGCTTTGGGTTGTACTCATCATCTGCCAGTGCACATGGGCTTTATGGTGTCAACATGTGTATTCAGACTGGTGGAAGAAAGGGAAAAAGCCCTTTTGTCTTGCTGGAGAGCAGCATTAGCTGTAGGGGGAGCTATACAACTCTCTCCTCCCAGAACAACAGGTGAAGGGTTTGAAGAAAGATTTATAGGACACCTAATATCAGGCATGGATTTCTCCCATGCCCATAAAAGCTTTCGGTGCTCAAGCTTGAATGGCAGAAGCACTGCCCTTTATAACCATAATAGGAGTCTCTAGATGTACAGGTAAACCAAATGAATGTTACTAAATGTGTAACAATGTTTCTTGTTTATGCCTTTCTTTGTGGGACTTTCCCAGCCCTCCCCTCTCATTTTAAGTCTTTATTCTCCCAGTGAATGGTTTTTTACTGTATTTGGCAGGTACTGTCGTCTGCCTCTGCCTGTGGATGGGGCGCCTCTTGAAGCACAGTTTGATGTTTTCATCAATTTCCTCAGGGTAAGAATGGCTGAATGCAGAAGTCTCATTTTAACAGTGTGGAGGTAGAGAGAGATAAAACATCAAATGGCTGCTGGTCTTTCTGCTCAGAGCAGCAGAAATTGGGTCAGTGAATTCTGCCCACAGTTGCTGCATATGCTGTAGCTTCTCCTAGGGGAAACAAGCTGAGGTCAAGTGCAGCACCTGATTTCCAGTGGGGGTTCTGTCTTTCTTACCTAGCTTCCCTGCTAACTAAGACTTGGGCAAGGGAGAGAAGAAAGGTGATGCACATGAGTTGGTCATATGATGAGTCTGATTGAGCCTAAGTTGGAGCCAAGGCTTGCCCTGGGGTTCGTAGTCCGTGGAATAACCAGACTAATGACCTTCTTACAGCACACTTACTGGATGAGTTTGATTTTGGATTTGGAGCTGGGCAGCCACTGCCTGCCTCTGTTTAAACTTGTGTTTCTGCTTCTAAACTTATGTAGACAATCATAGTTTTGTGGTAGCTGACTAGAAATGCAGTGCTGAACCCCTCTGCTTCAGGAGGTAAGGCCTGTCATCATAAGGGACACTGTTACATAGTTGCTACAAACCTGTACCACATGTGAGATGCTGAGAGCACAGACCAGAGGCCCTTCAAATATTCTGGGGGCCGGAATGACTCGGGCATCACTGGTGGCGCACACATGTACCTCTTGCCTCTAGTTACTGATTCAAATTGGCTTGGATTCAGTCATCAATAGTCTGTTGCCATCATAGGGCTGTGCTCTGTGGCTTCTGTCATGGTAGCTGATGGTCTTGGTACAGTTCCGGATTAATGATGACCATCACTATATTTGACACTGTGGTGAAGAGCACATTCCCTAGAGAGGCTCTGTCCAGATCAGTGGTTCTCAACCTCTTTAGACACAAGGCACCCTCAGACAATGGTAGCTCTGGACTTTCATTCAGTTTTTGACTACAGAAAAATATTAGAGCAATTCTTGTGTTGCAAAGAACTTAGAAGGACCACAACAGGTCAGAATGTTTTTAAAACTGTGCATTTCCTATTTGAAGCCTCCGGGTTTGTGAATCATGTTTGCACATCTAACAGTGGTAACATTATGTGGCACCCTGTGGCACCCTTGAAAGGATCTCCAGGCACACCAGGGAGCTGTGGCACCTTAGTTGAGAATCACTGCTCTAAGTTAGAGTGAACTATGTTGAGGGGAATTGTGAATGAGGCTAATAGGCTGCTGACTGCTGTAACCATTCATGCTTAAACTGAGGGTTTGAGTCTCCTGGGCTATCACTCTTGCACTTTTCATCAGATAACTCACAAAACAATAAGCTTTCTTTTCTTGTCTGTGGTTCATATTGTGTGGCTCTACAGAGCAGTAGCATGTGCTTGAAATTAACAGTCTGTGTTAATTTAAAGTAAGACTTTCTTTTTCAGTTCTTTCAGAGAGAAAGAACTTGTGTGGAACAGACCTTTCTCCTAGGGAACATTTAAAAACTGTGCTACTGCTTTCTTGGCATTCAAATTCTCCATTGAATGAGTTGTTTGAGACTCGAGCAGAAATGACAAACAGCTGCCTTGAATTCAGACCATTTCAGATGTGGTTGTGTGTTACTCTGAGGCAGTGTAATACGAAAAAATCAGCGACTTCTGTTTATCTTAGCTCCTTCCTATTTGAGTTGCATGCTGAGGGCAACTGCTCTTCTGAACCTTTTTCCCTCATGCCTTATGCTCTTTCACACATTCTCCTCCTTGCCCTGCCTTTTTGGAGCTTTTTGTTGGACACAGCAGGATGCCTGTTTGCCTGCATAGAAGCTTCATCAATTTGTACTCTTGAGCTGTGTGCACCTCTCATGCCCATTAGGGATGACTGAAATGCAGTTTTTAGTCTTTGTTTGCCTCCACCATCTTCCTTTGTGCCCCTTATTTTTCTAGGTCATTTTTCTTTAGCCATTAGTTTTCCTAGGAAGCCTGCTATGTGTAATTTGGAGTGAGTATCTCTGGTAGCCTTGACTCAGGTGTTATGATTTGTTTTGGTATAGAGTTTGCTTAAGGACTAGCTGCTGCTGAGTACTTGTCAGCCCAGAAAACTCTGTGGTAATGAGCACAATGACAGAGAGGAGGACTTGAGTGTGCTCATTTTCCTTAGTTACCCCATGGAGTGACTGGAGTGTGTGTGGAGGTCACAAGATAAGAATGGGACATATAGATTTGAATACTGTTTGGGGAACTTGTGCTGTTTTTCTTTAGTTTTTTTTTTGTCTTAGTCGATAGATTTCCTGCATCAGCATAGGCAGATTTTGCCCAAGACTTTAAGTGGAGTACCCAAGATGACTACTTTATATGCTGGAAATGCTGTCTATAGTTCCCACTCCAACTATTTTACTTAGTATGGATTTCTTTTTTGTTATTGTAACTTAATAAAGTGTATCTAAGGCTCCTGCCATACATTATGCTTAAGACATAATCACATCTTAAATTGTACCTCGGCCGCATCATTAATCCAGGAATAAGCCACAAAGTTATTCCACAGAAAACATGTAATACTGCCCACCATCTGATGGGTGTCTCAGCTGTGGGAGCTTGCAACTTGCCCGTGCAGGGGGATCCTGGGCTCCACCTGCACTGGCAATAATGCATGATGGGATCTAATGCTTGAGACCATAATCACACCTGTTATTATGCATGTGTAGCACAGCAGGAAGCACAATTGTGTGATTTGTGCATTAAATCCCCTCTCACCATTTACCTGCATGTCTGGCAGAGGCCTAATAATAACAATTCAAAGTGTAGGGAGCAAATGGAACACAGGTTGAATAACAGTTTGAAACTTCTACCTCAGAAATTTGAGTGATAGGGTGTACCTTGTTCTCTACTCTAAAGTATCTGTGCTTGATGAATTCTAGAAATCAAGTTTGACACTTTGCTTATTTTACTTAGTTCTACGGTAGCCACAGAAGGCATGGGAATTCTTAGTTAATCTATGCCACAAAGGCTGCTCTTGTAGTTTAGAATGAATAATTACAAGATAGTATGTATGTCACACTAGAACTCACCTAAAGAATTCTAAGGTTAGTGTTAAATAAAAGGCAACATTAGTTTGAAACTTTTCAAGTATCTCATCTATCCCCTTTGTTCCCCCTTTGCTCCACTGCTCCTGTCCAAGATGAACCAAATTCAACAGGGAGCTTTCCTATGGGATTCAGTCTTTAGACAACAATTTTGTTGGAATTGATGTTTCCCCAGCACTCCAGATTCTTTCGTTTGGAGCTGTTTAGAGTCTTTGCGTGAAATCCTTGTCTCTTTGAGTTTATGGACGTGAGTCTTGCCAAGAAAAGTGAAGTAGTTGTTTGCCCAGTTGGCTGTTTCTCTAAATGAGTGAACCATGTTGCTATGTGACAAAACTGCCACTGTCATTAGCAGCAGAGGCTTTTCCACTCAAAGCTTTTGTGTGTGTGTGTGTGTGTGTGTGTGTGTCTATATATTTCCCTCCACCCTGTCAAAACCATTGATTTTCTTCTATACTTTTTTAAATTTTTAGCTATTGGGCATACTTTTGGTGAGGTTTTGCAGTCATACAATTTAAGATCAGAACAGTGTATATTTGTGAGCAAGCCTTCATCTCCTCTGGGTTCTTCACTATCGCTTTAGCTATTCACAGGAAAAGCATAAGTATTTTCAGGTGAAAAATAAGTAACAGTGGTGGCAAAATGCTTTTTGTGGCTAACCTTCATAGATTTCATAGAGATTAAGACTGGAAGGGACCTTGCGAGATCATTGGGTCCAGCCCCCTTGCCCAAGGGGCAGTAAGTCAGCTGGGGTCAGATCACCCCAGCAAGATAAGCATCCAAGCATTTCTTAAATGTATCCATAGTAGGTGCTTGGACCACTTCTGGAGGGAATCTATTCCGGACTCTGGAGAACTTGGATGGTAAAGAAGTTTTGTTTTTCCTTATGTCTAGTCTAAAATGGTCTTCCAGCAGTTTCTGATAGCTAGTCCTAGTCTTCCCTTGGGGTGCCCTGGTGAACAGATGTTCTCCCAGTTCCTTATATACTTATAGGCCGCCACCAAGTCACCCCTGAGCCTTTGCTTCTCCAGGCTGAAGAGTTCCATGCCTCTCAGCCTCTCCTCATAAGGCCTGTTCTCTTGACCTCTAATCATGCATGTGGTTCTCCTCTGGACTCTCTCAAGCTTCTCCACATCCCTTCTAAAGTACGGAGCGCAGAATTGCATGCAGTACTCCAGCTGCAGTCTCACCAAGGCCGAGTAAAGCAGGAGAATGACTTCTTGGGTCTTGCTTAAGATGTATCAGTAGATGCAAGCCAGAGTTTTAGTTGCTTTGCTGGCTGTGGCATTGCATTGGTGGCTCATGTTCATCTTGTGGTGGTGGCTAAGTCTCTTTTGGTCGTAGTGCTAGTGAGTGTAGCACTGCTGAGCCTCTAAATATGATGTGGGTTTTTTCTCCCGTGGTGGAGCACCTTGTATTTCTCTGTTGAATGTCATCAGGTTTTGATCTGCCCACCTAGCGAGCCTGTTTAGGTTGGCCTGAATTGCCAGCCTACCGTCTACTTGGTCATAGAAGGAAATGAGGTTGGTCAGGCAAGACCTACCCGCAATGAAGTCATGTTGGCTCTCTCTCAGAATGTTGTCTTTCATTAGCCTGTTGGTGATGCCTTCCATTTGCTAACTTTGTGCCTTTTTGAGTGTGTGCTCTGACCGCCAAAAACTACTTGAGGATTTTGTTTATGATGTCTGCTGCTAGAGATGCTCTCATCAAACAAATCTTTCCCATTTTATTTCTTTGTGTTTCTCTCCTGTTGTCCTATACAGCAGTAACCTTTGGAACCTCTCTTTCTTTTGTGTTTTGTTAGCTGCAAGGCAAGGAACATCATCTAGTAGTAAGAACACCAGGCAGGGAATCGAGTCTTAGCTCTGACACTGACTCAGAACATGACCTTGAACCAAGTCATTTAATCTCCCTAGCTTAGTTTCCATTTGTGAAAACAGCAAGACTTTTCTCCCTTTGTGATGCACTTTGAGACTTCCACATGGAAGATGGAGTTATGTAGGCACCAAGTACTAGTATGTTAACATTTTTCTTCTGTCCTGTATATTGTAGTGTCTGCTGTTTGCCTGTATTCTCTGTGAAGTGTGTTGTGTTGCGCCTGTGCGTGAAAGAGGTTATAATGCAATCCATGTATATCTCACTCATAGGAGAGTCCAAACCTGCTCCTGCTTCGGGACCCTGGCAAACCACCTCCTGCTTTACTTTTCAGCTGCCAAACTGGAGTGGGCAGGACCAATTTAGCCATGGTCTTAGGCACTCTTGTGCTTTATCACCTCAAGGGGGTACCACAAAAGCCAGAGTAAGTATGTCTTCTGTCCCCTGCTTTGGGAGCTCATTGAATGAAATGAGGGGGAGGGAGAAGTGATGACAGGCCCTGTTTGTACCACAGCATCTTAAAAAACTGATTTTTATTTAAAACCTGCCCCTGAAACTCTGATGTGTAATTGAGGCATGTCATTACAAGAGAGAGCAAATAACTGTAAGCATTCCCACCAGTTCTTTCTTACGCTGTGATTGACTTTTGCAAGTCTTATGGAAGTTGATTTCTCAGGCGGGAGGCAAGCGGACTCCATCCTGAGCTCTGCCAGTGTGCCCCAGGGATGCTATTCCTGCCCTCTCTCCTCCCATGCTTGAGTGCTGAGTACTGTTCCCCCCCATTCATGCTATACAGAGGTGTGCAAGGAGGGCAGCTCCAGTCTCTCTACTGGGGACCTGAATGTGAGTTAAAGGTATTGATGGTTTTGTCCCATTAAATAGCAGTTGGGCTGTGTAGGTCTTTTCAATAGCATATTTGGGAGGGTGGGGCT